TGAATGTCTTTCTGTGGGTTCAGGATTATTGCATTCCTCAACTGAACCTTGTTGTAGTGAACTAGCAAACGAGCATGGCGTTACGTGCGTCCAGGAGTACAGTGACGATATGGTAAGTTGTCCAGTTTCACATTTACTGTGAAGGTTTGCGTGTGTGCGTTTTTCAGGAGAGACTTGAATATCACACGCACGCACACACACACACACACACACACACACAGGCACGTAATAGTGCCCGCTGCATGTATATATATATATGTAATACTGAAACCAAGAGGCGTGATAATGAAAGAGTGGACAGAATTGTGAGTATTAAGACCTATCTGTGCGTCTGTCTGTCTGTCTGTCTGTCTGTCTGTCTGTCTGTCTCTCTCTCTCTCTCTTTCTTTCTTTCTCTCTCTCTCTCTCTCTCTCTCTCTCTCTCTCTCTCTCTCTCTCTCTCTCTCTCTCTCTCTCTACCTCTTTCTACTTCTGATTAGTTTTTCTATGGTCACATTACATTGATCCTTTTGTTGTCAGGTCACTCTGGTCCTTCGTTTGTCACATTATATTACTCTTTCTGTTGTCACAACACCTTGATCCTTTTGCTGTCACAAAATTTACTCTGTCTATTGTCACGTTACATTGTCCTTCTGTCGCCGAAGCATAATAATAGTCTTTATACTGTAACATCACGTTGGTCTTTCTGTTGTGACATTACGCTGGTCCGTCTGTTGTTACATCACGTTTGCCCTTCTGTTATTATAGGATATTAGTCTTTTTGTTGTCACATCACATGAGTCCTTCTATTGTCACATCACAGTAGTCTTTCTATTGTCACATCACATTGTGATTAAGTGACTTTCAAACCCACCAAGACCGCACAACGAGCGTCAATCACCCGGTGACACAAAGTGCCATCACTCGAATGAGAATCACCTTGGCACAAGTCCCCGGATCCCCGTTCAACCGTTAGGTTATATGAGGGCCCTCGACGCAGCCGGGTGGAGTTTACTGTTATGGTCCTTCGTTATCACAAAACATTATCCTTAGTTTGTCATATCACATCACTCTTTATGTTGTCATATCACATAGATCCTTTGATTGTCACATCACGTTACTCTTTCTGTTGTCGCACCACATTAGTCCTTTTGCTGTCACATCACGTTACTCTTTCTGTTGTCGCACCACATTAGTCCTTTTGCTGTCACATCATATTACTCTTTCTATTATCATATCACATTGATGCTTCTATTTTCACATCATATTACTCTTTTATTGACACATCACGTTGGTCTTTTTGTTGCCACATCACATTGGTCCTTCTGTGGTCACATCATATTACTCTTTCTGTTGTCACATCACGTTAGTACTTCTTGCAATTATTTTTATAATCTTACCAGTCACTTGTTTATAGAGGTCTGCCGTTAGGATGAGTTTTGAACTAACTTCACAGCACAAGGGTCCTTTTGTATCAACGCTACGTCCCTATCTTCGGCAGCCGGCTATTTGGGGCATGAAGCTTTAGCCTTTCATAAACTAAAAGCCACTACTGTTAAAAATGTCTAGTTCCCTTCCTAATCGAGTGCCTGCCTTTCTTAAATTATTGTAAATAAAATCAAGCGTCCATGTTATGCACCGCAAAGAGGAGGGGGGGGGTGGGGGGGGGAGGAACCACAAGGCATTGCTGAGAATTGAAATCATAACTGTTGAACTGGTAAGCAACCTGTTAATAAACGATGGTAATTTATTCATAGCAGAGCTGCAGTGGGCAGTGACATGATTTGAACAGGTGATTTCACCTTGACTGCTTTTCCTACGGGTTAATGCGCTGTCAGTGTCCTGCCACTGACTCTGAATACCTCTTTGTTTTCTCCGTCTCTTTGTCTCTCTCTTTCTCTTCTCTGCGTATTAGTGCCTGCGCGCATGCATGTCAGTGTGGTTGTTTTTGTGTGCTGAAGTAATTGTGTCTCATTCTCTTTCACTTCACGATAACCTATAACTGTCGGTGGAACCCCGTTCTATCGCACGACCTATGCATTTAAGCAGCGTTTCATGTGACCGCCTTCCACAGTTTATTGAGTTATAAATTAATCTACCCCGGCGTGGAAGACAAGAAAAAAAAAAGGGGGGGGGGGGGGGGGAGGAAGCCCACACGCCATGCAGGACCGATCAGATTGATCCTGTATCTGAGCTCGGTTTGTAGCATTTGTAGGGACTGAGATTCAAGCGAGGTCACGCCATGGTTGGTTACTGTGATAAATTCTTGCCATTGTTGTATTTAGTACTCCGTTGATTAAACTGTGGTCGAAACGTTCGGTTGCATTTGTGCTTGTCTTTTCCATTCACCCCGTTGCGCTTTCTGTTCAGTTTGTGTTGTATTTATTACAGGCATTTGTGACCGATTGGGGGCAGTCAAAACCAATTTACATTGTGTCGAAAACATTTTCTAGCATCGTTATCATCGAAATGGCTTCATACATACGATATTCGCAAACTTGATCCTTTTCACAGTGATCACTTTTTGAATTTTGACGAATAAAAAACTTATTGTTGCTATTCTTGCTGGTTCATGAAGCAGTGAACCGGTCGTTTAAGCTTTCTCAGACAAGGTCTAGAAATACGGAGGACTCTTGTTCATATTTGCGCACCATATCAATTCATTGACTGCTGGAAATAAACAGAACATGCCGAAACTACAGCTGTTCTGGCTATGTTTATAAAACATTGGAAACCTAGGCACAAGAGACATTTTAATGTACGATTCTGTTATACGCCTATTGAATTAGGACTTAGTTCGTGCAGCATGTAGAGATTCTCTATGTATAATTTGATAGGAGCTGCAACACTTATGCAGATGTCCGTGTGCCTTCAAAGTAAACCTTTACTACACCCAAAGCATTTACAGTTGGGTTGGGGGGGGGGGGGAGGGGGGGATGTACCGAACATGATCTGCATTTTGTAACTGTAATGGCTATCTTAGTGACAGTAACCCAGCACTACCGAGCCAGTAGATGATTGCCTTCGTCACTACGCTTACAGAGATCTAAATTACAGTCACGTAGACTGTCTGCACGATAGCCTCAGTAACGCAACAACTAGCATGTTTGGCACCGGCCCGGTGCCAGCTCTTTCGAATCCCTCTCAAGGCGGTGATTCTTTTCATTGACCCCAAGTCAACTAGCCAAAAATATATGCCAATAAATATGTTCTAATAAGTAAAGGTAACTGGTGTGATACTGACCACATCACGTGTTGAGCACTAGTGGCTCAGTAAATAAGAGCTAGCACCATATACCCAATAACTACCTGAAAAATAGTCTTTTAAAAACGTGATTGGGTGTCGCGTTCGCGTAGTGGCTTGACGCTTGTCTGCCGACTCACAGGTCTTGGTTCGATTCGGCATCGAGACGGATTTTGTTTCCTTTTAGATGTTACCGTGGCTCATAAGTCGACCCAGTAGAAATGCATGCAAGGTAACGTCAGGGAGAAGGCTGACCAGCGTGATGTTGGCCATATCATCTGTCAACTGTCCCCTGGTCTATACAAATATGTGACTGGTCTGTTCAACTATGAGACTGATCTGTACAAATATGAGACTGATCTGTACAAATATAAGACTGATCTGTACAAATATGAGACTGATCTGTACAAATATGAGACTGATCTGTACAAATATGAGACTGATCTGTACAAATATGAGACTGATCTGTACACATATGAGACTGGTCTGTACAAATATGAGACTGATCTGTACAAATATGAGACTGATCTGTACAAATATGAGACTGATCTGTACAAATATGAGACTGGTCTATACAAATATGAGACTGGTCTATACAAATATGAGACTGATCTGTACAAATATGAGACTGGTCTATACAAATATGAGACTGATCTGTACAAATATGAGACTGGTCTATACAAATATGAGACTGGTCTATACAAATATGAGACTGGTCTATACAAATATGAGACTGATCTGTACAAATATGAGACTGGTCTATACAAATATAAGACTAATCTGTACAAAAATGAGACTGGTCTATACAATTATAAGACTGATCTGTACAAATATGAGACTGGTCTATACAAATATAAGACTGATTGTACAAATATGAGACTGGTCTATACAATTATGTAATGTGAATGGTCTATAAAAATATAAGACAGGTCTATACAAATGTATAATCAGACAGGTCTATACATATATGAGGCTGGTCTATACAAATATGAGACTGGTCTATACAAATGTGTAATCAGACAGGTCTATACATATATGAGGCTGGTCTATACAAATATGATACTGGTCTATACAAATGTATAATCAGACTGGTCAATACAGATATGAGGCTGGTCTATACAAATATGAGACTGGTCTATACAAATGTATAATCAGACTGGTCTATACAGATATGAGGCTGGTCTATACAAATATTAGACTGGTCTATGCAATTGTATAATCAGACTGGTCCATACAGATATGAGGCTGGTTTATACAAATGTATAATCAGACTGGTCTATACAGATATGAGGCTGGTCTATACAAATATGAGACTGGTCTATACAAATGTTTAATCAGACTGGTCTATACAGATATGAGGCTGGTCTATACAAACGTATAATCAGACTGGTCTATACAGATATGAGGCTGGTCTGTAAAAATATGAGACTGGTCTATACAATTGTATAATCAGACTGGTCTATACAGATATGAGGCTGGTCTGTACAAATATGAAACTGGTCTATACAAATGTATAATCAGACTGGTCTATACAGATATGAGGTTGGTCTATACAAATATTAGATTGGTCTATACAAATGTATAATCAGACTGGTCTATACAGATATGAGCTGGTCTATACAAATGTATAATCAGACTGCTCCATACAAGTTTGAGACTGGTTTATACAAATATAAACTTACCATCATACGCCCTAAGTGGAGTCCCTTACCGACTTTACTTACTGCCTTGTTTTATGGATGAACAATCCATTTATTATGACTTGTATTGTCAACAGGTGATAGACTGGCTTTCGCAGGACGGGCAGACCATCCTACAGAGACACGCCACTACAGCAGACAACCTCAAAGCAGCGCGTCACCAGCAGAAGGACTTTGAGAAGTTTTACTATTCTGCTGTGGTGAGTACAACCGTTTTGTAATGACGTGTGTTTATCGCTTTCAATTGTATGTTGTCTATGTGGTCTTTCATACAAGTTTCTGTGTCCACTGTCATCATTGAATACTAACCAACATGTTTACATGTAAAGCGTTAAAGATGACTTGGAAGACATATAATCAGATTACAGATGGCGCCACTAGAACCCCCCTATTAAATAATAAGTTATGAGTGAAGAACCAACATCATAGCACTCCTGACGTTCCTATAAGCTCCCCGTTCCCACCTTCAGCAGCAAGTGCAAAGTTCAAGTTCCGATAGCACAGTTACAGTCTGATTGTATGTCCGTCTCGCCCTGTCCCCAGGTGTTGAGCGTGGTTCAGATCGCTGGGCAGTCCTGGTTGCACCATTGTTGTCAGACATTATGATCTATTTGTGCCCCAGTCGCACAGACCAGGTCACCATATGTTGCATACGCAGTGGAGATTGTAGAATACTCACATAAATTAGCCATGAGACAAGTAGCTCTTAGCCAGCATTTTAAGGCTGAAAATGTAGGTAGGTAGGTGCATGGCTAGTGAAAAAAAATCGTCACGTTTAACCAGCATTCCTGCAAAGGGTAGCATTATTTAGGTTATAATTGTGACTAGGTTATGTGCGCCATATAAAATGGCTTAGCATTGCACACCACAAAGAACCCTAAAAAGAACTCCTGCAGTGTTGATGCGATTAAAGAAGATTAGGTTAGTTGCGTATCCTTTACAGGACGTTGGAGAACCAACCCCAACAGCCCCTGGCTGTTGTATGGTTTTTTTAGGCAAATTTACGTCCAGTAGTTTGCTGTTGCTTTCTTGATACCACTGTCGAAGCCAACGCAAGGCGCATGGCCCGCAGCTGGGATCGATTCCGGCATTACGAAACGTTCGCATCGACTTAGCCACAGAGCCGACAATTAAAGGAAACAGATCCAAATACTGTCCCGACCAGCAACGAAGTCGTCTGTCGGCGAGCCAATGGGCGACCTGGTCGACGATGAAGGCGGAACAGACCCCAGAACTTGCCTTGTATAAATGAAGGAGCTGCAAAGACCATGTGGCCACCCCCAGTAAACCTTACAAGCAAGCTTTGTGGAGAAACTAAGAGACCTCGAGCTGACATCCCAGTTGATGGCCCAAAGTAGATTAAAGCGCAGGACCAGAGATCCCTGAAGAAGAAATATTGGAACTCTGACCTGGCAGCTGAAGATAGGGAAACGGGGCGTTTATGGGAATGCCCCGAGTGCTTGTATGTTGATTCTCAGCTCTACAATAGCAGCAGGTGAAATAAGATGTTTCCACGGCAGTTACTAGGCCAGGATATTCAAGGTAAGGCAGCAGGGCTAGTTCTCTCGACAGGAATTCTAAAAGTGGTGTGTCAAGACTCACGGCCCTCCCATGTGGGTTCCTGAGACTCAATGTGGGAGGGGGGAAACAACAGACCCACATCTTTCTAACAAGCCTGTCGTAAAAGTCGACTAATTATGGATGTTTCCCTCGAAATCGTCGGAGTGCTTTTACATGAGAGACGAGTAACCGACAGTCTGCATACGAATAAGCCATATCTGTAAAATGAATGTGCACGCAAAACTCAAGGGTGCCTAGTTGACCATGTTCTTAGTGCACATGTATTCATGGCGAGGCACAGACGCCGTCTGGAGGTGACAGGTTCAACTCCCGGCACGGTAACTGTAGCTTTCGATTTTTATGATGTCTAGTGTGTTTTTCCATCTTTCTACTTCTTTCTATGAGTGCCGATAAATACACTTTCTGTTACTTGATTAATTCATAATATTTAACGGCCTCAAAGGTTCCCCCTCTGTTTATTTATAGCTCTGGCTTAAAGGGGGATCATTACCTTTCTTACCTAACTACTTCTTTTACTAGCTGTCCGTTCACTCCGATGTTGACATTTTCTCTATATTCAGCCATTGGTGAATATTAAAGTTTCATTTTAAGTATGCTATTACATAACACACATTGGACACCGCTTATTTTCCCTTAGCTATTTCATGGTAACATGAGACTACACTGCGAAGTTGACAATAAAACATGACAATAAAACACTTCTATAATTACTGTTCTTTATAAGTACCTGACATTTATGAGAGTCCAACTGTTGAGGCCCCATAACGTATTTATTTATGGAAGATGTTAAACTCTGTGTGCCAATGTTTGCCTCGTAAATCTTGCTATAGTGTAACAAAATACTTGATAGTTACACATCGTTTCTACCCACCCAGCACAGCAGGTTACAGCAAGGTAAGGGATACTTGATAACAGCAGGGAACTTAACTCTTTTTGTCCTAAGAAACGTACTATGTGATTATGTTTGTCTAGGTGTATCCAATACCAGATGCTGCATAATTATTTCATTTATATTTGGTCTCAGAATCGAAGAAATCTGGCTAGATGTTTTTAATATGCAGCACATCAAATGTTGCCAGTTTTTAAGCAATAAATTGATTCTATCTCGTTGATGTTATTGTTTACTTTGGGTTACATTCTTGGAAAACCTGGGACTGAAAGAGTTATAGTTATAATTGTTTCATACAGCGAAACAAAGTATCCGGGAATTGTTTATGTTGGATTGGCATTTGACATGTGGCTATTTGATTTCAAGCACACGAAAAAATAATCAGAGGATTTACTGTGTTGTCAACCCTTCAGGTAGCAGTCACGGAGAGAAAGTCCTGAGTACTACTTCAGGGTTGGTTGTGCTTGTTATGTAACTTAAACAGAGAGACCTTCTTCTTATGTTCGTTCTCCTTGCCTGCAGTTTTCACATGGGAAGGCCACAGGCCTTTATCAAGACTGTAGTATCATCCTTCCTCCCCCTCCCCTCGATCTATACAGTTTGTTGCCAACCACAGTGCTAACGGACCACACCTGAGATCTTCCTACCATTACCTCTGTCTATCTATTTTTCAAACTGAGGCCCATTCTTCCACTTTCTATAACCACGATGTCTTTCATTTCCTGCAGTTCTTTCTGACCTGTTGCTATCAAGACTGCGTCATCAGCAAAACGTAAATTGTTTATTTTGTGCCCACCAACCACAATCCCGGGCACATCAATTAAAAATCTCATTATATAATCACTGTGTAGTGAAAATAAATCAGGTGACAGTACACATCCTTGTCGTTCGCCCCTCTTTATGCTCTGAAATGTACCTAAACAGGTATTAATTCTTATAGCTGCTGTTTGCTGCCAATACATATTCTTTATTATTCGTATATATTTTCCATCAATGTTTAATTTTTCTAACAGTTTGATTACTTCTTTATGTTTTACACAGTCAAATGCTTTTGTATAGTCATAAAGTATAAGTACAAATATGTCTTTACTTCTATAGCTCTTCCTGACAATGTCTTAATAATGTATATGGCATTGTTTGTACTTTTTTTTTTCCTTCTACAAATCCACATTCTTCATCGCTTATTTCTGGTTTAATTTTGTTTTTTATTCTTCTCATAATTATTCTCAGTAAAATCTTAGTCATGTGACTCATAAGACTTATTGTGCGATGGTCTCCACATTTTAAAGTGTCTGGTTTCTTTGGCAGAGCTATAAATATGGATTTTAAAAGGTTACTTTGAATATACCCACTATTATAAATATCATTTAAAAGTTTAGTTATTATTTCAATTCCAAAATCTCCGAGTGCTTCGATTTCTTCCAGTGAGATTTGTCTGGTCAGAGTGCTTTTCCTTTCTTTATATAATGCAATTTCGGTTGACATACTTTCTTTTTCGCAACTCAATGGGTTGATGGTATTGAATCTTTTGATGCCTGCTGAATTGACTCACGCAACATATCCCACTGTTCATCAGTTGTATAATTTGCATTGCATTATACCGGTTTTGTACAGTCACATTGCACTGTTCCTTAATATCTTTATCCGTTCTAAGTATTCCTAAATTTAACTTGATGTTCTGTGGTGTTTTCTTAATATTATTTAGTTTTATTCTAATTTTTCATATGACTGGAACATGGTCACTAAAGCAGTCTGCTCCTGGTCTAGTTTTTGCTCCAACTAAGCTGCTCTGGAATCTTCTTGAAATCAAAATATCATCAGTCAGATTGGGGACATTATCCCCAGGACTTTTTCAAGTCCACAATCTTCTAGGATAGTGTTTCAACCACGTGTTACCTATTATCATGCTGTGTGACTCAGCCCATGCTAATAGTCTGTCACCTCTCACATTCTTTTCTCCTAGGCTATAGCGACCCGCTATTCCGTACACTTTTTCACTTCTTATTTTCGCGTTGAAATCTCCAAGTACCATTGTTACTTCAGTTTTTGCATTAATCAACAGCCTTGTCTAACTCGTAATAAAATGCGTCAATGTCTTTTTCTGAACTGTCTGCTGTTGGGGCATAAATCTGTACTAAGGTGTTGTCAAACGGTCTGCCGTGAAGTTTTACTAATTGTATTCTATCTGATATTGTCCAAAATCCTTTCACAGTTTTTAAGTTCTTTGGATCCAAAATAATACCAACTCCCTTACTATATTCCCTCCCACCCGAGTAAATAATTCTTTGATGATCTGATTACTTTTCCCCTGCTCCTGGCCATCGCATTTTACTAATTCTCAATATGCTGATGTTCATTCTCTTCATTTCCATCTTGATGTTATCAAACTTTCCGTGTTGTACGAGTGTTCTGACATTCCATGTACCAATTTTCAGGATGTTTATACTATTTACTTTTTCTACAATAGCCGGATGACGGTCGGATATCACCCGTAGAACATGATGCTCCCTACCGTACGAGATAATTCCACTGGAATGCCCCATTCACGTCGTTATCTGAATTCGTTATGTTTTGAGGCATGATTTTCTAGGGATAATACGGTGGTGGTTTCGCCGGTTTGTAAATGGTTTGACTCCGATTGCCTTTGTTTAAAGAGACTTACCCTGCAAGACAGCAGGGGGGAGAGGTTATGGCGCCTCTTACCCGCCGATGGCCATGTCGTAGTTTTGA